CGAGTGGGAGAGCGGGCATGGCTGAGGCGGCAAAGGCGCCCGCGCGCCTCGGGCTTCTCAGAGAAGCGGCTCAGTGGCCTCTGAAGCGGTACGGCCGCTTGTTGGCCCTGGGCACTGGAGAGCTGCCTGAACCCAGCCTGGAAGCCGGAGAAGACCCCTGCAAGTGGAAGGTGAGGCCTGAGGGCAGAAACGGCCGCCCGGGGCTCACACCCAGCGAAGGAGCGAAGGCCCGGCCGCGGCCACACAGCCCTGTCCCAGATGGACAGGGCGGAGGGAGGACTGCGGCCTTCTAAGCGACTGCGACAGCAGTGGGAAGCCGCCTCGGGTGTTCTGTTTCCAAGCCGTAGGATGTGTGTGGTTGTGACAGAGCCCACCGCACACGCACACACAGCGGGCGGTGCCCTCCACACCCACGCGTGCCCAGTGTGCCTCTCAGGCCTCCGGTCGGGGACCCCAACCACGTGGTCGTGCGGGACCCATCTGCCTCCGCCACCGGTGCCTAACCGGCCCTCCCGCGGGCTTTAAACGGGCATTTTCACTCTGACAGGTGGTGTGGTATGGGGGCGGGAGTGGACTCGGGAAGGGCGCTGAGCGCACGACTACGATGCTGCAGACAAGGGTGGCCTGGAGGGTGGCAGTAGGGCGGGGGAAATGAGCTGCGGATTTCGGAGGCCACCATCACAGGGCTTGGTGATTGGGTATGAGCGGTGAGAGTCAAGGACTTCCGGGCTTCTAGCAGAAGCAGCTGGGTAGGACGTTGGGGATGGGAAACACTGTTCCTCCTGGAGGAGGAGCAGTGGGGGAGAGCTCCAAGACTTGCATTTGGATGTATTGAGTTGAATCTATTTACAGAGTATCTAAAGGAGATATCGAGTGAGTAGTTGGGTATGCTGGTCTGGACTCTGAAGGGAGATCCAAACTGGAACTCTAAGGGTGTGAGTCGTTAGCAAAAAAAGTGGCATTTACAGTCTTGGCCCCAGATGAGATTCCAAAATCAAGCTCCCAGGGAATCCAACACTCGTAAATCAATTAAGAGGACCGCGTCCTTAAAGAAGATTGACGGGACAGAGTTGGGAAACACCCAAGAGGATGAAAGTTCATAAGTGCTAAAGAGTTGTTTCAAGGGAGAAAAAATGATTAACTTTGTCGAATGATACTGCAAAGTGAAGGAAAATGACGATGAAGGGGTGTTTGTGAATTTAGCAACTGTGTTTTTAACCGTCTTTGTCAAAAGACACTCAGAGGAAAGAAAGTAGTGACAGCCAGACTGGAGTGGATTGAAAAGTGAGGGACAGGTGAGGAGGTGGAGCCAATGTGCATAGGCACTCTTCAGGTGCGTGGCTGTGAACCTGAGAGATAGGGCATGATTTATTCACCACGCTCCAGAACACTGGAGTTAGGGGCACACCTGAAAGGTTGAAATAAATCTAGCTAGGGTCATTTTAGAAGGCACTACATACTTAGCTTTACTTGTTTGTTTGTTTTTGATTTTGTTTTTTTTTTTTAGGTTTTCGCCATGGGGCATATGTGCTTACTGGAGAGAGAAAGTCAGAAAGTACTCCCCAGGGGATGGCCACACTAGTCCCTTCTCTAGTCTCCTTTTGGAATTTCGAGCACCCACACACATGTGCCCAGTGTGATTTTCAAGATGCTGGGTCCAGTACTTGAACTGAGCAGTTGGCCATGTGGGATCCAGTGCTGCTGCTTCCACACTAGCGGTTGGCCCTGCTTTTTTATTTTTTATTTTTTTAAGTTTTTATTTTATGAGAAGGAGAGGAAGACTGATCCCCAACAGCAGCAGTCCCCAACCTTTTTGGCACCAGGGACTGGTTTTATGGAAGATAGGTTTTCCATGGACTAGTGCAGGGATAATTTTGGAATCAAATATATTTATTGTGTGCATTGTAATAATCAAGACTGATACTAGTCTGTAACCTACAGGTTGGGGACTCCTATCCCACAAAGTCTTGCCATGCCATGGTTCCCTCCTAGTCTTCCAGTCAGTCATGATCAGAGGAATGCCTGCAGGAGTGCATGGCATATTCAGGTGACCAGGAACCAAACCAGGCCATATGGCCTCAGTATCACACAGCAGCACCCTCCAACCTGTGTTGCTGTGGCTAGGCCTTTAATTGTACTCTGGTGAAATGCTGTATCTTAAGAAATGGTATCAGCTGAAAATGCAATCAGCGAGGGCTGATTCATAATTAGATCTTAGAAAAAGCTAGAGATGCTTGAGGACCTATTAATTTTTGAGACTGCTTCAACAGGTTCCTCGATACCTTCTCTTAACCCTCTTCAAACCCTTTCTTCTAAGACACAAGTATTGGCTGCATCGGTGCACACACAGCTGAATCTTGACCATTCTAAGGAGTTCTTACAAATTTTTGCTTCTCTTTTCAATGCTTTTCATAATTGCTTATAAGGAATAGCACTCTTCAACAGTTTTCAAATGTTTGGCATAAGGCCATGGGTACAATGACAAGAGATGAGGTTGGCTTTTGCAGGGCTTTTGAAAACTGAACATTTGTACCTTCCTAGAATCTGTGCCGAACCATCCTACCTGCTGTGATCAGTTTCAGCCTAGGTCTGCTTTTTTTTTCTTTTAAATGAAAGAGAAAACAAGGTTTGTTCTATTTTATGGACATTGTGGCTATTGCACAGTAATAATAAAAGATGAGCCAGCTAACTGTACTTTTTAATTTAAAAGTATATAGTACCTACACTAAAATATATGTGTGTGTGCATGTGTGTATATATGTGTACATGTATACACATATATGTGTATTAGATAAGGCATAAATATATATTACTGTGGAAGATGGAGCCATTGGCTGAGCCTGTTTTGAGGTTTCTTTTCTGAAATTCTGGGAGGATGGTTCTCCTGGTACTGTTTTATATAGTTGTTTAATTACAGAGAAGACTTTCATCACAATGGCCACATACTAAGGGAAAAATGTTAACTCAAGAGAAAAAAATAGTACAAGACTTCTGAGATTTGAAGTCCTAGTTGAGAGGTAAGGTACTAAAGATACCTCTACATAGATGATGTAATATTTATGTTTATGCAAACTGATTTGATTTACTTCTCTGAGTTGAATGATTAAATAATCACTCTCTGAAGAGAAATTAACCACAGTTTGGAAGCAGATAAACTTTTTATAACATAGTAAAGGAAAAAGTACAAACAAAACCCCCATTGGTTTAGAGCTTGCTGCTCGGACTTTATCGTGCATATAAATCATCTGGGGTTGTTGTTAAAAATGCAGATTCTGGGGGTACCAGCGGGTGGCATGGTGGTTAAGGTGCCGGACACTCCCACATGGTCAACCACAGTTCGAGTCCTGGACCTGGTGGTTTGCTTTCTCACCTTCTCTCTCTCTCTCCGTGCCTCTCTCTTATCAAATTAAAAATAAATGAATCAATAAATAAAATTAAATAAATAATTTTTAAAAATGCAGACTCTGACTCAGAACAGGTCTTATAGGGGAATGAGAATCTGTGTTTTGTGTTTGTAACAAGCTTCCAGGTGACGCTAAGGTCTTAGGGTCACACTGTGAGTGGCAGGGTTTGGAAGACCTCTGAATGATAAGGGCAGTCATAGAGTAAAATTAATAGAATTAACTTACAGTGTTATGAGGTGAGGCAATCAAATTCATAATGAATATGCACAAGTTGTATTAATAGGGCTAATATTTGAAGAACCATCTGTCATTACTTAAGTGGAATGAGCAAATGAAATACAAATTTGAACTTGATTTTAGTTCCTTACATCTGTTGGCCCAGCCTTTCTGAAAAGATTATCATAACAGATTGGTCCATTTTATGCATTTTATATCTGCGTATAAAGTCAACTAATTTGAGAATAATTTTGCAAGGTGACATTAATTGCAGGTTGCTTTTAAATTAAAGTTTTACCATGTTTTTCAGATTCCAAGGATTTTTTCATACATGCCCTAATTGGTTGAACCCGACAACTTCTTAGGTTTTCCTTTCAAAGGGAAAAAAAAAAAATCATTCTTTAATTTTTATAGGAGGAACTTAAAATAATTGCCCTACTTAGAAATTGAGACAGAATATGAAGTTTGTACTTGAAATGAACTTTTAAATATGAACTGAACACAATATATAATTTGGGTCCTCTTAACAGTATCCTTTTTTTTTTTCTTTCTGTATTCCTAATGCCTACATAGTTCCTACTATGTGACTTAGTAAATGAATGTGTGGTATGGTAACTTGGGGAAACTATGAAATGATAGCTGCTAGTACTTAAGTATTTAGTTTGATATATTTCTTACAGCAGCCCTCGGAAGCCAATATTGCTATACCTATTTTACAGACGAGTGATCTGAAACTCGGATTCAGTACTTTCCCAGGAACACAGATAAGTTGAGAAGAACGAATTCAGATCCTGGTTTGCTTATATTTAAAGCTTGTGTTTTTAACCACTAAGTTGTTTGCCTTAAAATATTAATAGTGCATTTGGGAAATAATAGTTCAATTTTATGAATGAGGAATTTTGAGATGAACACACAGGGTGAAAATGACACAAAATGGCAATTTGGCTTTGTTTTTAGGAGAATTTGAGGTTCAGTAAAACTCTTAAGAAAATTGTTTTAAAATATAGTAAAATAGTAACTATCTGGGTATGCATACTTGCCTGTGGTCCTGGTTAGCTAGGCTGGAGGTAGAAGATCCTGCTGGAATTCTCTCTCTCTCAAAGCAATCTTTTTTTCTCTCATGTAGCATGCTTTTTTGAGAAGTTAACAGGTAATATTTTGTATTAACTAGGATTAAGATTGGGCCTGAGTAATAGAAAATTTAAAACAACCAAAAAAACCCAGAGGATTAAGTAAGTTTGTTCTCCACATGGAAGTCCAGGGCTGGTATGACACTCCAGTGGCAGGAACTAGGGCTCCTTCTCTTTGTTCCTCTGTCGTCTGTGGCTGTGGTCTCGCAATGTGAGACAGGATTGATGTAGACAGCTTGTGGAGGAAGGGATGAAGTAGACAGCGGGACACGCCTGCTGTCTCCTGAGGAAGTTTCCTGTGAGCCACCACGTGACTTTCCTCCTCCTCCAACCCAGTGCCTGGCACTAGACATACAGCCATCCTGGGTACATGGGCAGCTGGCATACGGGGTCCACAAGTTCATGTGTCCCACGAAAAACTAATGGTCCTGTTACCGTGTGAAAAAGGGAAATGAACATTGGAGGACAGCTGACAGTCTACCTCGTGCTTTTTTCTTCTGAATCTGGAGACTGCTAAGAAATGAAGATTGATTCCTGCAGTCCCAGGTTGGAACTCAAAAGACACTTTCTAATAATAGCCACTACAAAAACTATTTTTTAGTACGTAATTGCTATGTCAATACTTAGGAGAGTGCTTGGCAGATGTCTGCCAAATATTTATTGAACTAATGAATTAAGACCAGGCATTTTGCTACACATCTGATGATACCAGTTACTCTTTCTGATGATCCTCTAAAGTAATTATTCCTGTTTTTTCAGATGAAATTAAGTATACTTCTAGGTGGCAAAGCTGGTGTTTGATTCTAGCTCTGATTCCAGGTAACGTCTTACATAAAGTGATAATTCTTAGTGCTGGCCACCAAATAAAGAAGGTGGCGTATCCATGGCCTCTTGAAGTTAAGTGTGTTATGTGACTGATCTTGGCCAATAAATATACATAGGACTGACAGATGTCATGGGCAAATCTGTAAGAGCTGGAGTGTGATTCATCTTGTTTTCCCCCTTTGCCAGTGTTGCAGATGTTGACTTCTCTGTCATCTTGGTCCTTTGGTAACAGTGACAGGCAGTGTGAGTTGGAGTGTGGAGGGTAGAGTGAGGATGGATAGGGAGAACAGACCAAAAAAAAATTGCTTTTAGGGAGCTCCTAATTTCTAGTCTGTACATGACTGAAAGGTACAAAAATGTTATACTTCTTATGTTAAACTGAATTATGTGTCATGTATATTGTAGATTGCATAGATTTTGATGAAGAACCTTGTAAATGACATTCTAACTTATTTTTCTATGACAGAATCATTACTCATTCCAAAGCACTGGTTTATAAACACATATTTTCAACTTTGGGTCAGTCTGTTTTTTCTTTTTTTCTTCAGTAAATAAAAGCTTAATTTTATTGTGCAGCAGACATACTTTTTATATGGCTATGGTTTACTTAACATGATTTAAGATAGAATTTATTTGGACAAGTACAATGAAGATGTTTTTCAGCTTAGTGGTTTAAGGAGTCTAAGTTAGTTTATAATGAAGCCCAAGAGTACTAAAATTCATTTATTTTTAGGACTTGTTTCCTACCTACTATGTGTAAGACACAGTGAAAAGCTCTGTTTAGAGATGACTAAGGCATCACCACTGGAAGGCCAGCCAGTTAAACCGAAGTACCTGCTCATTCAGAATATAGGGTGCTTTTTGGGGCCAGCAGGTGGCGTGGTGGTTAAAGGCGCTGGACCCCCACATGGCCGACTGCAATTGAAGTCTTGGACCTGGCTGCTTCCTCTCTTCCCTCTCCCTCTCTGGTGAAATTAAAAATAAATAAAGTTTAAAAAAATATTATAGGATGCTTTTCACTTCCAGTAACAACACTATCTCTGAGAAATAAGTTTTTTTTTTCTTTTCCTGTGCCAAGGGCACATGCATTGCACAAGGTGTGGGGGAAAGATAGCGCCCCTTGCCAATTGAGCCTGGTCATGTGCCGTCTTCCTCCAGTTCTCCATCCAATCAGGATCCTGGGCATGTGGCTGACATGTAAGCTGCCGGGGCTGGAACTTGAACCTTTGTTCATCTGCACAGTGCTTAGCCACTGCACTAGGGGACTGGCTTAAATGAGGGTATCCTTTTTTTTTTTTAATTTTTTTGAGAGGTGTTTTTATTTAGTTATTTATTTATTTTTGCTACAGGGCACGTGTGCTCACCAGAAAGAGAGAGAGAGAAAGCGAGAAATCACCCCTCGGGGGGATGGCCACACCACAATCCCTTCTCCTCCATTCTCCTTTTGGGATCTTGGCCACAGACACACACGAGCTCGGTGTGAGTTTAAGCCACTGGGTCCGGGACTCAGACCGCAGTCGACTACGTGGGAGTCCAGCGACATAGCCATTGCACTAACTGCTGGTCCTGAAGGTATCTTCTAAACTCAGATTTAGAGTTAGAGTTTGGATATTGGATACGTTATGAGCTTAAATTAAGGACTTCGTAAATGAATAAAAGCATGTGTAAGATAGCAAAAGTGGGTGTGAGAGTGGCAGGGATCTAGGACATGCGTGCTAGTGAAAAGCACAACTTTCTGGCATAGTTGTTGATTTCTTTAGCACTTGTTAGTCTGGAAAAATGTTAAAGGATGTTTTAAACATATTGGTGAAATGTCCTAGGAATATCAGTTATCAAAACAATACAGAAGACTTTTGATTGGTAATTTCAAAGACAAATAACTAACTCCTCGGTTGTGTAGAAAGTGTTTTGAGTGAATATATCCTATTTCTGGCTACTGATAGAAGTGATCAAGTTCCTATAGGTTTAAAAGTGCTGGATAATTTCAGGATTAGTAATCCTACTCAGGGATACATGATAAAAGAAGGGAGATCACATCTGCTTTGATACATGTGATAATTTTATAGATTCTAAAAGAAAAAATGTCCAGTGTGTAGGTTATTGCTTTTTTGAGGGGTGGGTGGAGGTCTGGGTGTTACCGCTCTTGTAATCATCTTTATTATTGTTAATACCTTGTACTTCTGTGAAACATCAAAAATGCTGAATGTTACAGTTTGGTAATTAGTATTTTAGCATAACATACTTGGCAAGTTTGTTGAAAAAACTTGAAACACTTTAGCTATCAAGAGTCAGTAGGGAGGCAGTTGATAGTCTGCTTCGCAATTTTGCACATTTTTTGTATTTTATAATGCATAAATCAGCAGTTTAAGACACCATATAAGGCTGTGACACTTTTGTGGGGTCTTAAAAGCAGAAAACAAAACCCTTCACCAAGTGTGTATAGTAGTTTGCTTATGGTCTGAAGAATGGTATTGGCCTTTCATGCAGATACAGTGTACTTTAGGGTAGGTGTCCCATATTTCCATATAGTTCTGACTTTTTCCTGTGTCACTTTAGATTGACAGTACAGAACTCCATGAATACATATAAATTATGAGAAGATTATCTAACCAGTGTGTAAGCTTGTGGTAGGCCGGCTCTGAACGGAGCTCAGTGTGTGCTGCCGTGTGATGGCTAAATGCTACAATAGTGGAAGTCAGGTTGACGTAAGTCTTCAGCTACACTGAGGGCCGTGACTGGAATGAGGAGACATGTGAAGCTATGAGGAAATGGCTACAGATTTGGTACAAGGGAAAGCATTCAAGATGGGAAAATCAATATGAGAAAATATTGGGGCCAGGCAGTGACAGCCGTAATGCAACTGGATCCAGCTGAGAAAGGTCCTGGGTTTGTGCTCTGCGACCTCCCTATGCGAAGCCGGGCCTGTGCCATGTACCTGCTAGGCATGGGGTGGATTGTGACCTGGAGACCCCGTTGGGAGTGCCTGTTTCTCTGTCTTTCTCATGGAAGAAAATGCAAATTAAATTTTTTAAAATGAGAAGGCCAGCTGGTGGCGTAGTGGTTAAGGCCTCTGGATCCTGCCTGTATGGTTCAAGTCTCGGACATGACAGCTTTAAAAACATGCCGGGCACATGTGCATGCCCCAAATCCCAGCACGGTAGAGAAATGGAGAAGAAGGGGTTGTAGCATGTCCATCCTCCATGTCACTTTCCCACTCTCTGTCTGTAGCAAGTTCATGTCCCCTCTGGCAAAATTAAACAGAAAAACCCATAGGAAAAGTTTGATTATTAGTATTACATGTACCTCAGCATTATAGAAATATATTGTCTTTTATTTATTTTTTCAAGGTGTTTGAGTCCAATGAAGAATCTGGCTATCTTGTTCTCACCATTGTGATATCAGGCCATTTCTTCATTTCCCAAGGACAGACTCTACTGGTAAGTTTTATTTATTTATTTATTTATAGTTTAATAGGCAAATATATTTATTGTCTTAGCTTTTACATTAACTTGTTTATATCCCCAAGTTTCTTCATTCTCACGGAAATTCAAGTTCAACAAATGAAGCATTTGTCAAGTGTGCTGTAACAGAATACAGAAACAGTGAATATTGCCTGCTGTAAAATAATTTAGGATTTTTTTGGGGAGTCAAGGTCGATTAAAGGATTGAGATTAATCAGTGTGATAAAGGATTCTTAATTGAGGAGATTGAGTTGAATACAGGCCAGATTTATAGAAGAGAGAGTTTTCCAGGTAAGGAAAATAGCATATACAGAAAATAGCTAAAGAAAACTTAGAGCATGCTATTATTAATTAGTAGAGCCCTCCATTAGAGTCTCATTTTATAAAGATGCATTTGTGCTTTATTCCAAATGTATTTACTTAGGAAATTTTGGGATGAAAAAATATGTAAAGGAGAGAGAATCATCTTGTTTGAAAATTTAGGTTTAATGTAATACATAGAAACACAATGAATAACAAGACAGCTAACTTCTAATCAAATACATTTTACAAGAAAGGGAGTGTAAAATGTAATGGAAGGTTGTCACATGATTTTAGGTATGAGTAATGTCTATATAGACATAATAAAGTCAATAACATTTACTGAACACATGGCACAATTTATTCACTTAACAAATACTTAGGAGTAATTAATATTTAGGCATCTTTTGGGGGGATGCTAAGGATATAGCAGTGAATGGCAAAACCATTATGAAATTTTTCATTTTGTTGGGGAGAAACAGCAATACATAAGTAGGCCAAATTGATTAGTAAAAGCCATTGATTTTTGGTGAATCCCTTACATGTTCTATTATTAACATGATAAGATCCCACATGTGTCTAAAGTGTGATGGCTCATCCTCCCACTTATTTGAGCTATAGCCTTATTTCATTTGATTTGACCTGCAAAAAAATCAGTTTCCTGTGATTTTTTAAAACTGCAGCAGTAATAATACTGTTTTGCTCTAACCACCACTGCCGGCTTGCAGGAGTTGCAGGAGATAACATTTCTTCAGGTGCTAATGAAGAATGCTCCAGAGGGTAGGCTGAGGGATGCCTAACCCTGTCAGTATCACATGGTGACAGGGCTAGTTTGATTTCCGTAGGTGATCGCTGTGCTTTCTATCTATTATCTTTTTGCAACATTGTAAATGTTTCAATCTGGTAGATGTTTCTTTGTCTCATGCATAGAATGATTTTTGCACTACAGTTACAGAGCAGTTTTGTCAAATTCCGGGGTACCTACCACTGAGAAAAATTAAGAGTAATTACAGTTTGGTGCCTTGTTGTATCAACATATATAACTTGTATAGTAATATTTTGACAGTCTTTTTAAAAGATTATATCTGCACACACACACACACACACACATAAAATATCAGATTTTTAATTTTTTCTGTGGGGTGCTTGTGCTTGCCAGAGAGAGAGGGAAAGTGAGAAATCACCCCCCAAGGGGGATGGCCACACCGCAATCCCTTCTCTGAGGATTTTGGGCAAGCCGCACAAGCACTCAGATGCTGTTTAAGCTGCTGCGTCTGGGACTTGAACCATGGAGTTGACCATGTGGGATTTAGCACCTTAACCAAGCTCTGCTGACCCTAAAGATGATTTTAAAATCACCCTTATGTATGTAAAATTTACACCAGAGAATATTTACTAACTTTAAGTGTTTCATTTGATGTGTTTTGACAAGTGTAGATGGTCACATAATCATAATTGAGAGCTTTTCAATTAACCCCCAAATGTCCTTGGGTCTCTTTGTAGTCCCTCCTGCCCACCCTCTGCACCTAGCAACTACTGATCTGCTTTCGTTACTGTAGTTCTGCCCTTTCTTTCTGATTTACTCTTAGTAATTGATTGATGGTTAAGAATGTATGTATTTACCACGCACACCATATTCGTTTGAAGTGTATATACATGGTGGAATGCTGCTATCTAATTAACATGCATGATCTCAATACAGTTTTGCCTTTCCTAGGATTTCCTGTATGGACTCTCATGTAGTCCTCTGCTAGGCTTTAACATAATGCTTTTGAGATTTATTCGTATTGCATATTATTAGTAGTTCCTTCCTTTTCATTACTGACCTGTAGTCCATTATATGGATAAACCTAATTTGCTTATTCATACAACTTGCAATGAAGATTTAGGTTGTTTCCAATTTTTGTCTATTATCAATAACACTGCTAAACATTTGTATACGAGCCTTTGAATCGACTTTTCTTTTTAATTAATTTCTTTTCTGAAATTTTTAAAAATTAATTTACATTCATTCCCTGGGCATTGTCACAGCGTACAAAATATGATTTCCCATCCATAATACACTGCATAGTGGCTTAATCATACATGTTATTGATAATTTTCTGTTTCGTGTCATGTGTGTGCGTGTGTGTGTGTGTATATATATATATATATTTTTTTTTTTTAACCCCTATTTCTCGCCCTCTGCCATTTCCTACCCTCCTCCCAGACTATCTCTGGACTCTACAGTTGTTTTACATTCCTTTTTTTCCCCACATTTTATTGATTACATAAATTTCCAAATAATCTACAGGCATTCTACCATGTACATACACTTCAAAAGAATATGGCGTGCGTGGTAAATACATACAATCTTACCCATCAATTTAACTTGCTATTTTCAATGGCAAGTTCAGCTGGTATATACATATCTGTGAGGACATTCTGACTTTAGGCATGAAACTCTGAGTAGAATGAATATACTATAAGGTAGCACCGAGCTGATGCTATAGAGCTTACTACGGTCATTAAATAGAATTAGTTTTCCTACAAAATTTGCTGAGGTTGTGATTGGGAATGCTTCATAAATATCAAACAATTGGGGAGAATTGACTGCTTGCTATTGAGTCTTCTAACTATGAGCATGTTTTAACTCTCCACTTATTAATCTCCCCTTTAATTTCTCCAGCTACACACCTAGGCTACATAGTATGACATGTATGTTCCTCACACAGCCTCTGTTGTGTACATAGTCTGTCATTGACTGAAACATAATTATGTATCACATGACCGGACTGGTTTTATTTCCTTTGGATATCTAGGAGTAGAAAGCTGATCATATGGTAGCTCTATTAGTTTTTGAGGAAACTGTATACAGTTTTCCACAATAGCTATACCAGTATACATCTCCACTAACAATGTACAAGGGTTCCCTCTTCTCTACATCCTTGCTAGTATTTAGCTTTTGTCTTTTTGATAAAGCCATGCTGAGAAATATGAGGTGCTATCTCATTCGGTTTTGATGTGCATTTCTGATGATTAGTAAGGTTGAACACCTTTTCATATACCTGTTAACCATTTGTAGGTCTTAGGGGAAAAACGTCCTTTAGAGTCCTTTGCTCATTTTTCAAGTGGATTATTTGGGATTTTTTGAGTTGTCTGAGTTCCTTTTGTATTTTGTTTATTAACTTATCAAGCTTATGATTTACACAAATTCTCTCCCGCTTTATGAGTTACCTTACCTTATTGATTGTTTCTTTTGGTGTAGTTTGCTGAGAGTTTCAACTCATGAATAGGAGTTGAGTTTTGTTGACTGCTTTTTCTGCATCTTTTGAGTTTTTTTTTTTAATACATTTTTAAGAGTATTCAGTTCTTGGGACCAGCAGTTAGCATAATGGTTATGTCGCTGGATTCCCATGTAGTCGACCGCAGTTCGTGTCCCAGACCTGGTGGCTTAAAACTCACACCGGGCGTGTGTGCATGCGTGCCCAAGATCCCAAGAGGAGAATGGAGGAGAAGGGATTGCAGCGTGACCATCCCCCCTGGGGGGTGATTTCTCGCTTTCTGTCTCTATGTCTCTCTCTCTCGGTCTGTCTGGTGAGCGCACACGCCCTATAGCAAAAACCTCTCAAAAATAAAAAGAGTATTCAGTTCTTGCTGAATCAACCTTTATTGTAGAAGTATTTGATTTTTAAAATTATATACACTTACAGTCTACACCCCAGCTTTGGCCAACCCTAGATCATGGGGACATGTGTGCCTGGCATGTGCAGAAGATTTTCTGGACGTGAACCTGGAACCTTCCCATGTGTGTCAGCCTTGCACAGCATTGTGTCACTGTCTAACCCCCAAGAATACATATTTAACAGATATTTTACCACTTAAACATCCATTTTTGCTGTTCATATAACTTAAAGTACTGTTTTGGTTTTATAAGAACCAACACATATAAGAGCAAATATCTCTCAATTATAACATGCTACAATGGCAGTTTTATGTTGCTATCACAGCTACACATCCTTTCCCTCGTACTAATCTGGGTCATGATACATTTTTAGAAATTTTCTCATAAAAGGTAAGGGCAGGATGGGCATGGAAAGTTTTAGCCACTTTCCAATTTCTGGCATGGGTTAAAATGCTCTATAGTTATACTCACAGATTTTTTAATGCCAGAGGGTGTGTGTGTATGTGCTTGCATGAGGGAGAAAAAGGAGAACTATGCCCCCAAGGGGACCTGGTCACATTGCAATTTTTCTCCCTCCAATTCTCCATCTCATCAGGATCCTGAGCACGTGTGTGCTCAGCATGTTTTTCAAGATGCGTGGGCCAGGACTCGGACCTTGGTTGGTCATGTGTCATCTGCCTTCCTTTGTGTAGTGTTTAACCACTGCACAGTAGGGCCCACTCTGTGCTCAAATTTTAATGGAAACTATACAACCAAGTACAAGAACAAGGTGATTTCTTCCAGAGAAGTTGGTGATTAGGGCCCAGTTACTGCTTCATGTGTGTAGTATGGTTTTGCGGAAGTTCAAACTGTCAGCAAAACTTTGGGCTTCTGCTTGGTCCTGGGCAGCTAGGTAAAGCTCATTAGCCTTGAACTTCACAGGTCTCTGATTGCCATCAGAGCTTAATGCTTCAGGTCAATTTCTGCTCATTTAGAATCTTCATTCAAATGGAAATGCCACTGCCTGAGGGCT